GCGGGATATGGCGGTTAGATCGGCGTCGACCTAAACGTGGTTTGCGAAGTTTTCCTCGACCAGGTATCTCCTACTAGTGGAGCACGGCGCCAGTCCGGGCAAGCTCTAATCTCACGACTGCTTCCCAAAATATGAGGTAGTGTAGAGCATGTAAGTGTGTGTAAGTAAGTAAGTAAGTAAGTAACTGTGTGTAAGGCAAGGGAAAAGAAGTTTAGATCGCGCGATGTCCTTGACCTGATTGTTGGGATACAGCTGCGGCATCCGCTTGGTGTTAATCGTAAAAACCTAGGAAAACTACCGATCAGAGCAGCCGACAGCTACAATTCTCCTTTAGAGAGCTGTTCTCGACCTAGCTATCTACCTGGTGTTGCAAATATTGTCACGTCAGGACTTGAACCTTAGGACTCCCGATCAAAGGCACTGCTATGACATCAATTTATGTCCTGAGACACCCAAGCCAGAGCAAGACCGTGCCCCAGCGCAGAAGGGCAGAGGGCCGATGACGTCTACTAGGAAGGAAATTGCGGCGGGAGAGGGTCAGCTGACGACCGTCTGCCAAACAGTTTTGAGCGAGAGGGGATAAAATAGTCTGTTTATTGAAAGACATTGGATGTAGCACGTTTGAACATTGAGCTTGGTGATCCTGCTGTCCTCTTCATGAAATGTTGGTAAACACTATTACTAGATCAAGCACAATCCAGCTATTGCATCTTCACGTCGAATGGGAGTGCAGTGCTTCTAAAATGTCTATGTCCCACAATTGTTCGTGCCTACATAGCCACATATCTACAGACCGTTTATAAAGCCGTGGATTCAGTACATCTAGTCGCAGGTTGTCCTGATGACTTGCGAGAGGGAAGTGGATAAATACTATGTTTGGTTATTTTACACTAGTAATCGTATATATCCTTTGGATGCAGGTGCAGAAAGGTCCAGGTGCAGGTGCCTTAAGGTGGCTCCAGACGTTTGGCATTTGCCGAGCCGCAAGTTACTGCTCGTCCAATCATGAGCAGCTGATGTGGTCGGCAAATGTTCGCTTCCTAGAGGTGTCGAAAAGACCGACACGCAGTAGGTTGGGCGACCACCAAATGTTCATCACGCGGCAATAGATTATACATAACACATGAGTAATAATAATAATATTTATTTTCTGCTAATGAGCTTTCGCTCGGTGGCAGAGTTTTATAGCACTTCGAAAGATCGCTAGACTGTAACTTCTCAAGCGTACCACTGGATGTAAAGCGTTTAATGACATTCGAACTAGGATAGGGCACCCTCAATATTTCGGAAGAAGAGATCATCCATACAAATAAATATAGGAATCAAAAAACCGACGTAGTAAATACTCTTTTGCAACCGGACAATAACTGACTGGAACAATTACCTTCTGCAGTATGGCGACTATTCCCTCCGTGTGCGTTGCTTCCGGAAACCCTAGAGAATTGCGTGTGATGCCAATAACTGTGCATGTTAGGTCTTGTTAGTTTTTACTAGCTGGACTTTCTATTATATGATTTCGATGTAGTGTAACATTAATATCTCTGTTAAGTGCTATAAAACTCGCCCCCGAGCGAAGCTCATTAGCAGAAAAATATATTTATTATTATTATTACTCATGTGTTATGTATAATCTATTGCCGCGTGATGAACATTTGGTGGTCGCCCAACACTACTGCGTGCGGTCTTTTCGACACCTCTAGGAAGCAGACATTTGCCGACCACATCAGCTCTCATGATTGGACGAGCAGTAACTTGCGGCTCGGCAAATGCCAAACGTCTGGAGCCACCTTAAGGCACTGCACCTGGACCTTTTGCACCTGCATCAAACGATATATACGATTACTAGTGTAAAATAACCAAACATAGTATTTATCCACTTCCCTCTTGCAGGTCATGCGCGGATGCCGCAGCTGTATCCCAACAATCAGGCAAGGACCATCGCGGATCTAAACTTCTTTTCGCTTGCCTTACACACAGTTACTTACTTACTTACTTACACACACTTCATGGCTCTACACTACCTCATATTTTGGGCAGCAGGCGTGAGATTAGAGCTTGCCCTGACTGGCGCCGTGCTCCACTAGTAGGAGATACTGGTCGAGGAAAACTTTGCAAACCACGTTTAGTCGACGCCGATCTAACCGCCATATCCCGCAATAAAACATACATTTACGAGACGCTGACACGTACGAGACAAATGCACTTTAGCAAATGACGCGCCCGAAATACTAATCAACAGTCATTGCGCACCGTTGCATCCACGGGTCGTCGCCATAGGCAGAGCGTTTGCGTATCCTAGAGCTGGGATCTTGAGGCGCAGATGACTGCAATGGGTGCAGAAAAGGAGGAGCGGCAAGCGAAGTGAGAATGTAATAGTGAGGAGACTCCGCCAATATCTTGATCCGCCATTTACCTTCATCAATGTTTTGTGTCTATGGAGAGTTTTCGTTATTCTCTGAGCAAATTATATTTTCTTGTCTTTATATAATGTATCTTTCAGATGGTGCCGCTGACCGCAGTACCATGTCTCCTGCGTCCATGCACCAGGCTCTGTATCACCTTGCTGCCGTTGCCCTCTACAAAATGGGGGTCGCCCACGACGATGAATAACATTCAGGCGTCTGACCCTCAAGAGTGAGTAGGAAAAGAAAAAACATTAAATTATTTATAATTCTAAAAGTAATTAATAAATAATAAAATATACGTTTCACATTGCATTTGAGTAAACTAGTCTTACTGAAGAGTCAGTGTTAAAACTATCCGGATCAAATATGCATTAATTAACAAACATTAAGAATGTAAGTATATATTACCGGTGTTTTCCTCAAATGAAAAAATGTTTCTTCATGGTACGAGGATTTAATATCCATTCTTTAATATCACACTCATTACTAAACATTTCTACATTTCCAAATACCATCTCCCTTCCCAATTGTCCGTATCCCTTCTGTTTATCTTTCATCTCCATTGATTACGCTGCTAAATTTATAGCTTGTATTCCTGGGCGCCTCGCGTGGCTAAGAGCGTGTCCAACTCAGCGCTTCACCCGAATGGTTGGGGTTCCAGTCCCTCCCTTGGTCTGGTTGTTAGTCCCTTATCTCTCATGTACTTGTATGTGTTGTGCGAAGGGCCTTGCGCTCGGATGACCCCAGATCAAAGACGCTCGAAGTGTATTGTGTTTGGTCAAATCTGCGCCTCACCGAAACGTTAAGGGTAACCCTGTCGGCTGGATAAAATCCCTAGAAAAAAATTAATTCCTTTTCGGCATAAATTTTGTTATTATTCTTTTACTTTTCCACAATCTTCGTTTCTTTACATTTAAATTTATTTTCTGGTCACAGCCTTTCAGTGTCACTTCTTAAAGATTTAGTAATTCTTCGTGACAAAAGTTGATTTGATCGTTACCGACATTTTTTATTTTTTCTTACAGTTTCAATGGTTTCGTAATCAATATTAGATCAGCTGCGAGGAGAGTGTCAAATTCTACAATGCCAAACATACTCTCCTAGCAATTACAAAATTATTTTACTCCTACTCAGCATTGTGTGATTACACGGCACGTGAAACACACTTGGGCGTTTCCAGCAAAATTAAATTCTTCATTAAGTTAAAAATACTAATGCAGGTTAGATTAAGAAGTTGCTGTAGAAAAAGCACTACCAGCGCTATCAAAAAGTTAAACAGAATATCCAGTTTGAAATGGAATAAAAGTGTCCTGAAGAAAGTAACAAGAAAAGAAAGGGGTTGTGAAATAAATTTGGTCTGCAGTAAAAAGGCATTAAAAAAAGAAGAAAAGCTCAGCTATTACCGATTGACTATTTGCATTCTTAATTGTCTATATAGTAAGACATTTACTTCCTTTCCCTTTTAAAATATTTGATACTTCATTAGTTCTCATATCCAATATGTATGAATACATATGTAGAGAATACATAATTCACGGTTTTATATCCTGTGCGGTGCCTCTTGCAGTTGTGAAGGACGAGGAAGTCGGTCTCCCAGTATTGTATCCCGCTGAGGCGTCGGACATGCCCCAACCACAGGCAATAAGTGGCACACCTAGCGACACTATCAGAACGCTGGAATCCATGGAACCAAGACAATCCAGGGATATCACAGACTCTAAAATGAAGGATACGTCTAAGATGATAGCCGAGGTGCTTCTAGACAGCAATTGCCAAGACAGCCCTCTTCAAGGAGTACAATCCTGTGATTACGGCAAAGACAAATCCAACTTCATTTTGGACATTTCCTTATAGAGCAAAAATATAAGTATACTCACAATCATGGTGAATTAGAATTAACCATTAATTATTTTCTAGTTTTTGAATTTTAATTCCTAGTCGTTTTCATTTATGTATCAATTGCACAAAGTAATATTTCAAATACTTTCAAAATTACGTTAAATGTCAACATTGTAGAAGTTAAAAAAAGAAACCTCCCAAAATGGATAAGTATATGACCTTAGTACAATGCAATGTAGTTTATTATTCATGTTCAGTTTCATATTATTTATGTAGTTCATTACTCGTAATATGTAAGTTGCTCAGGGGTCTGAAATAGAATAGTTGAATTAAAAGGTTACGGAATCTAAGATGCCATCGTTGACCGTTGCAATGGGTTTACGAAATTTAATGTTTTTGTGTCATCATTCAAACGAACACGATTCATTTAGATTAGTGTTGTCCAACTGGCGGCCCGCAGTTCCATATTGTGGCCCGCAAAAGGTTATTAGTCAAGTAAAACCCCTTGTATCCATGTCGGGCGAGAAACATTGCGCGCCGTGAATGCCCCTTTAATGTAAACATAGTTTAGTTTAGATTTAAGACCGTTTTTTAGTAAATTCAGAAATTAAATCATTCCAACATTTTCCCTGCGTTATGCAAGGTGGCGCCAGATATCACGCATGGAGATCAACATGTGCCGCGGCTGTCAGGGCGGATCGCTGAGATAAGGCAATACATAAAATGTTTCGTCTAAATGAGGCCGCCCTGATTTAGATGCCAGTGTCATTGCTCGCTAGAAGGCAGGGAGTGCAAGTGGAGTGTGGGCGTGCGCAGGACGAGGAGGTGAGCGCCGGGGGCGGCGAGCTCTGTGGACAAGGGCGCTCGCTCAGCAAGTTCGTCTCCCGCGGCATCACCAAGAGCCGGGGCGGCACTTGGTACGTGAAGCGCAGTAAACCCCAGATTCACTCTCGTCTTTATACAAGGCAATTCTCTGGAATATCATCGCGAGAATCGTTGCTCTAGATCTCCAACCCTTACACGCGCCAAACACGTGAATTTATAAAAGTATAGGCTCGCACTGAAGAACCTTCGTAATAAAGATTGCTTGATTACTAGTGACTCCACACGTCAACTGCTGAGTCTCTAAGTCCTCTAAGTAGGATGGCAAGATCCAGAGGTAAAGGGGAAGGAAAGATCTCGCGCAATCCGTGGCTCATTCGATCTATCATCAGATATATCGGCCATCAATCAGATCAGCCGGTCCGCTCAAATTCTCTCTCAAACAGCGACAGAAACTCGACCTAGCTATCTGGCTAGAGTCGAAAATTATGCCCCCGTTGTAACTCGAATGCCAGGACCTCCCGATCAGAGCCACTGCATGACATTAGTTGATGCCCTTAACCACATATCTCGCCTCTCCTTGGTAATAAGAAAATTTCGCTTTCTGCGGCGGAAGTTACTGAGAAGCTTTGAACGATGGAGTGTCTCCATCGTGGGCAGATTTGCAATACTTACTTTATAGCTAGGCCAAATTCAGCCACTATCTGTAGAGAAATTGTACTGGCTGTTCTAGTCGGTTGTTTACCGTTCCCCTGTTGGTTTCTCCGACCAATACCTGCCGCATTCCGAGGCTGTACAAACGGGCCACGGACGCGATATGTTCCGACCTCTTCCTTGTCCTATCCTCACCTCTTACTTACTACTACCACACACACACACACACTAATAAGCACTACACTACGACACATGCCTGAACACCAGTCGATAGCTTAGAGCTTATCCGGCTGGGGGTGTCCCGGGGGAAGGGGAATGTCTGAAGGGGACAAATTCGCGTCTTTTAAGTGAGTGGTTATTGGAACCTCACCTCTCAATGGGAAGAAACACCGCATAACATTCTATACATTCGGCGTCGGTGTGATGCAAGTAGTTGACGTGCTCAGAAACAGTAAGGCTCACTCCTTGACGAAGTAAGGGGACAGAATGCTCAAGGCAGTTTAGCAAAGGTACAACGATCCATAAAAATTACGCGCGAAGACAGTGGACGCTTTTCCTTCGGGGGTTCCACTGTATTGTAGCGAACATTTAATGGCCCTGCGGCAGGCAAACGTACGTCGCGATGGGCGCCCCAAAAAGGCTCGCAGCGCTCGACCGGAAGACCGAGGCTGAGCACGCTCTCCGGCTACTCGTTCCGCCTCACCGCGCGGACGCGGACGGGGACGGCGACATCCCGAGTAGCTGCCTGCAGGTAGGCCTCCTAGAAGCCAGACCCGGGTCATGGAGAAAATTAATTTTTTATATTATAAAAATGTGCGGCTGAACTTACTTCGAAACCATGTCAGATGTTGCACGCGCGTTGAAAAACAATTCCGAGAGACTGCCACTAACTCAGCGGTCCGCTCAGCTCGATTCCATACATGCCACGAAGATGCACGCCAACCTCCCGCGCTTGCGTCATCTGGAAGGGGCGAAGCGCTGGGCAAGAAACCAGAAGGACAGGGGGAGGCGAGACAATGGTTCGGATCAGAGGACGCGGAACGTGGAGAGACCTAGATGTGTGGCAGGCGAGACCTACGTGGGGAAAACATGATGAGGCTGCCAATGTGAGATAGCGCGAAGAGGAGCAAGACTAGTTTTTCTCCCATGCAAGGTCTTATAGAGATCAATTCAGACTTGTGATTGAAGGAATAAGTAAAGGGACAAGTAAGATGTAAAGATCCAGAGTTTGTTAAACCACATAGAGGAAAGTTATCCGCTTTCATTTAACCACACGCCCCTTCGGGACGGGCCTTTCACGACTCTACCTCTCGACAGCCTAGGGAGCCGCTGCGGGAGAGAAGCAGAGGTAAGCTAAAGTAGACAATAGTTTCTAAAAAGCGAAAGCTAAAAGAGTTCTAGATGATGCCAGAGAAGCAAACTCTGACAATGCAGTCACCAATCAAATTATCATCACTATTGTATGCTGGATTCATCCCACTAGAAGAAGCCTGTATGTAGGGAATGTATCTAATTTTACACATATGTATGCCCCCAAGATTGCTGGCGTTGATAAATCTGTATTAAGGTCGCGGATGTGGAGGCGAGTGGCTTAGAACGCCGACTGCAGCGCCTTGGTCGGAAGGGTCGCGAATTCCGAAGTCCCGCCTGTGGTCTAGTTGACTGTCCTTAAGACACACGTGCGGGCTCCGTTGGTCTGTAGAACAGGGTGACTCTCAAGACCTACCGGCAACAACAAATACAAAAGACGTGGGACAATACCATGTCCATTGGCGGGAATCTAACCCGCGCCCCTTGAGCGAGGAGGTTTGAGTGCGGCTCTAGCCAGCCTCGGCATCCAGGTTCAGTAACTTATTGCCTGTAATTTTGATAAATTAACCGGGCAATGTAGGATTGGGTTGCTACACTATGCCCTGCCAACGAAAGCGATTTTTCTCCAAGTCGCGAACCTGGCATTGTGCGCAGTGGCGCCTTAGGCGGCGGGCGCACACTAACGGAAAATACGGACGTTACACGCGCCCGATTTTTTAACGAGATGTCGCATTTTCGGGCTCGGCAGCAGAGACTCAACTGACGTTCGTGGCAGCGCCGCGCCGTGCGCCATTCTCCATGACCGGGAAATGTGACTCAGGGCCATCAACTGATGTCACTGCAGTGGCTCTGCCGGGAGGACCTAGGTTTCCCGACGTTGTCAGGTTTTGTTCGACCACTAGCTTGTCAGCCCAGGACTAATTCAGTCACTGTCTGGAGGGGAATTGTAGCGGTGGCTGCTCTGATCAGTTGTTGTTTCCGGGTGATTAATCGGAACAACAACCAAGAAGATGCGCGCAGCGGTACTCCAACTAACGGGCCATAACCGCACGTGATCTTGTCCTTCCACTTTTTTTCCTAATTCTCAACCCCTTTACTTACACCAGACACTAACCACCAACTTATGTCGGGGACAACGGAGAACTCAGCACTTGTCACGGCGGTGGGCGGTGCTACAGCTGATTGGAGAACCTGATTGGAAACCCCGCTAAGCCGAGGCTGTTCCGCGCCGGTTTCTCATCACCCAGCGGGGGGGGTTTAGCGCACCTCCGAGGAATAAACATGCCCTACACTTACGGGAATAATACCTTAGCCGTCGACGCGCTCCGGATGATAGCAATCGACCTATGTGTGCGTGCCAGCGACGCCTTGAGACGTCCGTCAGCGTGCGGCGGCGCGCGTGTGCGGCAGGTGCCGGCGCCGTGCTGCAGTCTACACGGCAGCGAGGCGCAGCCGCCCGCGCAGCCTGTTGCCTGCCCGACCGCTCGCGCATGGGCCGTGCGCGTCAAGGTGGGCGGCGCAAGCGGCGGAAGCGAGCCTGCCTCGCGACGGCTGCCCGGACGCCCGCCACATCCTGTGCGGTCCAACCACCCACACTCGCGTCATTTAGCCCAGATTAAGCACAGCAAATGAATTTTTTGCGCTTAGCGTTCGCCACCAATTGTTGTCGCGATCAGTCATTGACTTGGAGCTCTCTGGTAGACATGTATATTGCAAACATTTAACATCCTAACATACATAGAAAGAGCAAGATGCCAGCATATTAAATTACAAGGTAAATAAGTTACCATAAAATGTATTTAAACAGCACCAGACTGATTTTAATCATATTGTAATTGAAACAATAATTATGGAAACCGAAAATAGAAATAAAAGCAAGTTTTTAAATTTTTGGAGGACAGAAAAAATATCTTTTGGAAACTTGATCAGGATATCGAGGATGAAAGAATGTTTGAGCCTATGTAAAGTTTTGAAAAATGGGTGAAATTGAAGAACGTTCGTGTAGGTAAGCATAAGATATTGATAAATACTGGAGCGCTACCCCAAAGCAGCGATACGCTGGTTAATAGATTTGGTTCTGGAAAAGTACGCAAAACTTTAACCATGGCTGCATATGCCCTGTCAACCTTGTTGTGCGGACCAATACGTGTTGCTTTGATCGCCCCTCTTTCTGACTTTCCGACAAACACAACCCATTGAAATTGGACTGTTCCATTTTTCATGGTTCAGCGACGGATGAAAAGAAGTGAGCTCCAGGGAAAAGAAACTTATTTTCATTTAAAGCTATAATATTAAAATAGCCTAAGTTCGTTTTTAAAATATCTTAAATCCTTGAACATAGCTTAAGTATTTTAAGCTGACTTTAATCATTTAGAATACGTAATTCATGTCAATTCAGTTTGTGGCCAGGTTCTGGACAAGCCAAGCAACCAAGTCTTAAGCAAATGATTCGAGAATTTTGCATAGATTCATTCTACTCGATGTCGTTATCATTATAATGTACAAAAGTCGTAATTAAAGTTAGTGACGTATTTATGAATAAAAACACATTTTCCGTTGCTTAATTTAATAAAACCTAATTAATAAGAATAACGAACCGTTTTAAAAATTGTTTATTTTCGTCTCAACAAGACAAAAATATATAAATTTTGCCAAATCTTCTCCACTCATTTGAAGGCTTTTATGACTCTATTCAGGATTATCCAACAATACCTCATATTGAAGATGATTTGTTTTCAGGTAGCTATGCTCAAAAGAAGCAGGCCAAGAAGTCGAACGTTTAGATGACAAGTGCTGCTGCGCAGAAAGGCATTACAGAATGAAACAAACAGACATGCTAACGTTACTACAGCAGTCTGTAAAGAACCACACATTTTAATACTGAAATAATTTCAGGAAAGGGAAATTTTGAGGGTTGAAGGCAGTAGCAACAGAGCACACCGGCCACTGAAGCACCCCCCAATTTGTAAATGTAATAATAATTCATTATCAGTAATAAACTTCTAAATGTTATAACCACGATATACAGGGTGTCCAGAGAGGAAAACGTCGAATTTCCGAAATAAGCTACTTAAGACAGATATTTTAAGCATATTTTTGTCTAATTAACTACTTGGAATTTCCGAATGGACCGGCCAGTAATACTCAAACGTGATTTGAAAAAATGCTTTCTAGACAAAATTGGCAATTGCAGAAATAAGATTTTACAAAAGAAATGAGTATAAGTTGTTCCGAAAGAAAAAATTAACGCTCAATAAAAAAGCACTCAATTTACACAATTCACTGCAAATTTTGTTAAATACAATTATTCATAGAGCTTCAATTTTCAGAAATTTTGACTTTTCCTCACCGGTACCCTGTAAATAAGCCAGACTTTACCGGAACATGAAAGATATTAAACATTTCACGAATTTGAGTGGCTTGATGACCGAGTTATATTATTACTGTCTTCAAGAACTTCAACTGCCAAGAAAATTCAAATTTGGAAAATACTGGAAATTTGTTTCAAAAGAATTCTTTAAGGATAATAATGTTTGGTACTAAAACTTGTAACAGCATACATGCCACCGGATGAATATGCATTATTTCTCATGTCTTTTATTCGGAGAATACTTTGAGGATTAAATAGCAGTCATGTAATTTGTTAGCAAAAATAATAAAATATACATCGAGACGCTTGTAGGAAAATTGATCGAATGATTCACAACTATACACAGCCCAGAGAAAGAATATACTTGTTAAGAGTTACAAACAAGAAACTTAATTTTATAGACACTTGATAAACTGCAGGAGTAATAAATGATATCTCATTAAACCACATGTAGATTTTGTCTAAGTGTCTATCAGCAATTGAAGTCAGAAACTGCAGCGAAGTGTTTTCAAAATTGCCCAAAGAAAATCCGAGAAGTATCGGGGCGCTTTCGAATCTTCAAAAGTTTTTTTCCGTAATGTGATCATGCGGATATGGACACAACGCCAATTATAAAAAATTCCATTTTATGAGATGCCAGTGCATCTAAGGCAAAAATACAAAGAAATGCAATTATCAGTAATGATTAAGAGGAAATAGATGATATAGTTTTACTCGACTCTATACATGAGGCCTTGCTACCCTTTAATTCCACTACCCTGGCAGACTGATATTTAGAGGAGGAATAGTTGGTAGCCGTCCAAAATTCAGCCTCTGTTATCGTGATATATATGCATGAATGTACATTTTACTGGCAAAGGGATGAACTTAGCCAATTAACTAAAAGCGGTACAGTATCCGTGAGACAGCCTACAAGTTACGGCACCATGGTGAACAAAAAATTCCCATTAGGATGGTAAATACTTTCTAATATTTCGCACTGTTTCGTTCTCAAACTTGTATAGCCTACTGATTTCGCTTATATTCGATCAGTGAATCATTACAGACCAATCGAATTGCTTTATGACACCACGTACCAAAAATGCAATATTAAACAAAATAATTAAATGCACGTTGAAATACTGACTACAGGATAGAAACTGACTAAACTTTAAACGCAGGAAACTTGAAAACGTAAATAGATGTCTTAACGAAGAATTTTGTAATCATTCAAAAAGGATTTTTCCAAGAAGTTCATCCTTTGCAGGTAGTAAATAAGGTATCGATACAACCCGCAATGCACTCCGGATTGCGGGGCTGAGGCGTGCGGAGTGAGGCTCGGTTAAGGTCAGGGCGGATCCGTGTAGCGGGAAGAGGGAACGACGGAGGCGGCGGGGTCAAGCTGGACAGGGGAAGAAGATGGGAGCGGAGAGAATAGCGATAAATGACAACGAGTAACAAAAAACCAGTATTATGACACGAGTGGGAAAAGTGACATTTCATTTTGCGAATAGGAATGTTGCGTCCTTGAAATTCGAAAAGCCGAGTGCTTAATTCTACGAGCAAACTTACGTTTCGCGTTCATACGCCTATAATCTCTCTCTTG